ATGTTCTTTGTAGTCAAGAACTGGCTACCAGAATGGCACCATCATCCCATGGAACCAGATGAAAGTTGCAGCTGATGCAGTGAGCCTGGAAGTGCCTGCAGGCTTTGTGGTAGAAGAACATATTCAGCCTTTTGAGAATCACGTCCCCCGCAAGCACTGGAAGAGTCTCCGAGCGATCTGTGCGCGCACATGGGGGCCCGACGAGAGAACCCAAAGGTCAATCGCTCGAAGTCTAGGTCCTCTAGGTCTGGAATGGACTCGTTTTAGCTCCACTGGCTCAAGGTGTCCTGTTCTTGTCGGCCCTGCAAATGAGGGGGGCATCCCTCAAAAATGAGAGAGGGCCTCTATCCATACCCATTGCCTGTCGACATTCCTGCTTGTCAAGAAAGGTTCAGGCACACGAACAGAGACAGGCAAGTGTCTGGTTGACGCCTCAATGTGACGTCTGGATATTCAAGAGCACCAAGAAACATCAAAATTGTTCTTGGGTATGATGGTGTTCTCGTCTGCCCCGTTGAAGGTCATTCAATTCGCCGGGCGCTCGCGTCAACCAGGTTGCTCAACACCCAGAGCCTGTGAATGGACAGCCGAGTGCCATGAACCTGCGAGGAAAAGAAGCATGCAAAAGGCCTGGGAGCACATCAAAATCCAAAGCATGTGCTATTGCAGCGTGCTTTCGCGCAAAGCGAACGCGCACCAGGCAGCTTCAAAACGGCATCTGCGTCCCGAAAGCCGAACACAAGTGCAAAGGGAACAGGCCAGCAACTCAGGTGCGACACCAGACTGAGGTGCTGCTCTAGGAAGGGGCACAAGTTTCAGTGGGAGCTGACCCACTCAACATAGGCTGCGCACTTGCGATTTGGTTCATGAACAATCTTCAATGCACTGCTGGTGGGCCACGGGAACCGCCACAGCTCATGGCCTGAACCCTTCGTGGCCGACATTGAACAGGCAACTGCAGTTCGAGCGTTGCTCAAAACCTATCGAGAATTTGTTCTAATGGGTTCTTCTTTCGCATGTTCCTTTCGCAACACTTTCGCGGCTTGTGTTTTGGCTTTCGCGTAAAAAAACACTTTTGCAGGCTTTCACGAACGGAACTGATTTTGCAAGCTTTTGCAAGCTCAAAAGCTTTCCCAAGCTTTCGCAAGCTTTCGCGCATGAAAAGTTTGCGCACTCTTTTGCGAATCTTTGGCGACTGCATGTTT